TCATTCTTGATTTTCCCAGAGTCTTCCTTTTGAGTTTTCCCCAGAATCCACAGCATTGCTCAGGCCAAAGATTTAGCAAGGATATTTCTTTCCTCTCTTTTTTCAGTTTTCACATCCTATATACTCATGTGTTAGTATCTTCTCTGCCTCTCCATTGCTACAATCCTAGTTTAGCCCATCATTTCTTACCTGGGCTACTACAATAGAACCAATCTCACTGGTCGCTTTTCCTGCTTCCATGCTTATCCCCACAATTAATTACAGCACTCAAAGTGACCCTCCAAGACATAGTATCAAATGGCTTTCCATTGAACATAAAATAAAATCAATCACGTTTGAGAACTTCCAAGGCTACCATAGTTTAATTTGTGTCATTTAAAAAGGTATGTCCACCTGGAAGCTCTGAATGTGACCATCTTTGTAATAAATATTTTTGCAGATGTAATTAAGGAAAATCTCAAGAAGAAATTATCCTGGATTAGGGTGGGTCCTACATCTGGCCTCTGCCTGTTCTGTGACATTCATTACCACTCTCTTGTCACTCAGTCTCCAGACACATCTTCTTTCTCCGCCCTGATCTCAAACATCGTATTTCTATCCAAGCCATTAGACTCCCTATTCTCTCTGCCTGGACCCTTTTCCCTCACATCTTTCCTTGGTTGGTTCTTTGTTCTCCACCTTTTTGTCACAGCACAAATATTAATTGCTGTGAATATAAAATGTCCTTTAACCATCAGATGGTCTTTCTACCTACTTAAAATTGCAACCTACCTCCTCTTGTTTTTATTTTCTCACAGCACTTATTAACATCAGACATATTATGTGCTGTGCTTATTTGTTTATTTTGTATCACCCTCTTTCAAAATATAAGTTCTAGAAAAGAAGGAATTGTGACCATAGTTTATTGCTATGCATTCAGCATCTAGAAGATTAATAAATAAGTTAGATGGACTCAGTCTGTTACTAAAATTGATATTATATGAGTTGATTAAATACAAAAGTAATGATCATACAACCTGTGGCAGAAGTGAAAGAAAATTTATTACCTTTAAAATGTGAAAAACTATTTGTTCTAGAAAACATGGATATTTCCCAGAACAATGTAACTACAGTAGCCTGTTAATGTCTCAAGTGCTATACATTCATCTAGACACTGCTGCACAGTCATTGATGGTCTGGCATCTAGTCAGAAGTTGGTGCTTTCATTTAAAAATTATTGTCACTATTTGTATTTTCTTACCTTGTTGACTCCACCACTTTCTTGTTGGTGACCAGTTATATAATGTTTTATGAACTCAAAGTGATTCAGGAGCACTTTTTCATTGATCATTCCAATTATATTATATAACTTCCCTATTACTTAATGGCAAGAAAAGAGAGCGTGGTCATGAGACAGCAGTATGTCTAAGAATAGCTGCTCTTATTTATAACACTGCTTCTCAAAGGATCTGTAGTGCAGAGCCAGTTTTTTTTTTCTTTTTTGTACTTTTGAAATTTTCCATACACTAAGGACTGATACTTTTGTAAAGCATATATATCACTTGCAGTTCACAGAAAGGTCCTAGCTCATGGATCACACTTTGAGTAACACTGATTTATAGTATTGGATTTTATAACACAAGCAGAAATGTGAGATATGAATTTCTAGGTAATACTATACCTTTGTTAGTTGTGATTTTCGAAGATTTTGTTTCAATGCCTCCTTAGGTTGAGAACCTAGTGATCTTTCTATTTATGAAAGGAGAATGGCATGCTAGTCACAGTTTTTGAACAGTTGGACACAATTTTTCTTCCATTTCCAAGGAGTGCGATTGTCCCTTGAGATGGGCTTTTCAAACCACTACAGTCTTCCATCATCTGTGATGCACATGATACCTTGCACACAACTTGACCTCTGTGGGACAAACATTGCCTATTTTTTGAACTTTCAACTTAATCACTTAACAAATCTGTAGGTTGATAAAACCAAAAGTGCTGGTATTGGTATACTGACAATTGACCAGAGCTTTAGGTTGGGAATGTTATAATCTGACTAAATCAATATATAGGATTTATTCTGTGAGCAGTTTTGTAAGCTTATGTCTGCATGATAATTCTCTGTAGCATGCCACATATTAAGACCCTTTTGTAGAGTCATCCTTATCTCAAAACTGTTTCACAGTCTCAGTCTTTTCTAATAGGTAGTAACCATTGTTTTAAAAGCCAGCATGCTACTATTTGTCACTCTCTACCCACCAACCCACTTTTCATGGGACAACAATATGCAGATGACTCCAGAATCTTGGACTGACCATTATATGTGCAAAACAAACATATGGACTGACTTTTTCTGTCCTAATATTAATTATTACATAAACTTTGGGTAGTCCTCATTCCCTTTGATAGCACAGACGGCAACATATTAAGTGCTGTAGGGTACAAAATTGCTTATAGCAGTAGGCAAGTTACCAGGGATGTGGGTTTAGATATTTACATGATTAATCAAGAAAGGTCTTTGATAGATAAGCACCGAAATGAAATGATTTCAGTAGGATTTATTATCTCCTTTCTTATACTGCAATTAAACAATACTTCTCAGTTTTGTTTTTTTATATGCCATATTTGATATTATAAGCTATGTATATATTCCTATATATATCTACAAAAAACACATATTGATCCTAAAATTCTGCCTAATACTTTAGAAATATCAATTTATATGTGTTAGTTCACACATTTTAGGTACGTTAGCCTTTGAATTATTAGCCTTGTGTATTAGTTCGTTCATGCACTGCTTTAAAGAAATACCCGAAACTGGGTAATTTATAAGGAAAAGAGGTTTAATTGGCATATGGTTCTGTAGGCTGTGCAGGCTTCTGCTTCTGGGGAGGCATCACCAAAACTTACAATCATGGTTGAAGGCAAAGGGGAAGCGAGCACATCTTACATGGCAGGAGCAGGAGTTGGGGGCGGGGAGGTGCTATACACTTTAAACAAGCAGAACTCTTGAGAACTCTGTCATAAGACAGCACTAGGGGGATGGTGCTAAACCATAAGAAAGCATCCCCATGATCTAATCACCTCCCACCGGCCCTCTCCTCCAACACTGCGGATTACAATTTGATGTGAGATTTGGGTGGGGACACAAATCCAAATTACATCACCTTGCATTTTTACAGTTCGTAAGTCCAACTTTCTTTTATTACCCAACATTTAGAGATAGTTCAGTGGCTGATGAAAGTAGGATGCCAATTTCACAAAAGATCTGCTTCTTTTTATATTATCATCTTAGTCCACATAATCTGAAAACCGTAAACACCATATGTATACAGTGAATTGACTATTTCATGCATTTATTTTCCCACACAGAATCAGTTTATATACAATACATTCAATTCAGCAAGGACACCATCATATAGAATAAACAGCACTAGATAGTAAGGACAGGCCATGGACACTGAAGATGTAGCAGCTAGAAGTCAAGACAGAAAGGTTGACTCGTATCAAGGTCAACCCATTTTCTATGGCTCATGTCATCCTTCACCCATAATTGCTTTATTTGTAGATACATTAAGAGGATATAATGAAGTGAGACGTGAGCTCCAAGTTTAAACTGCTTCCAGGAAAAAAATAAAGTGCCTCTATACTTTTCCCACTTCACAAAAAAGCAGGTTTTCCTAAGGTTAGTGGCACTAGTTTTTGTAGGACTAGAGCTCCTATAGAGGGCTACATAGCAAATGGGTAGGATGAGTCAGGGGATATATGTAAATCTAGAAAAGAAGACTTCTCTATACAAAGTAATGGGACATGTTTGTGTCATGGGAAATCTTCCAAGAGATATGAACCATGGAGGGGAGAATGAGCAGGACAGGGATGGTGCTCAATTTACATGGCTCACAGGCCTGCATCGGGGGTGGAAATTGGTAGTTTCTTACATACCAATAAAGTATTGGGTCCATTCCGCTTGATATCTAGTGTTAGACCTTCAGTTTGAGGGTAGGGAACAGGATAACAGTGGACTTTCTTCTAAAAGAGAGAAGTGTGCCTGATGAACACAGGTGAGAATCTAGGTATGTCACTGATAGTGCCTCTGCCATAACAGAGAACTGTTGCAGTAGATAAAAGAGACTGAATGGGACCAACTCATCTCTCAGAGAAAACTCTACCTTCTGGGATTGCTTCCCATGTGTCAGTCATTCTATTGCACTTCCCACAGAGGAGAACTTTATGGATACTGGCAAAATCAAACTTACAGAGGAGAGGAGAGCTTGTCTGAGGGGGATCAGCTGTGGAGTGTTGGTGTCACAGGGTTTCTGACATGACAGTTTTGGTGTGAGAAGGTTGCTTTTCAATTCCAGTTTCCTCAAGCCGGCAATTATCCTTAAAAGGAGGCAGTGGGCAAGGTATCAAAGATATTTGTTAGAGTGTGAGATCCCAAACCTTGTTGTTTAGGACAACAGCTTCCCTTTGTGTGATTAAACTGGCTATAGTGGTAGATTGGAATTCCACAAATCAAAGAAATATTCACAGTATCAGAGCTTCATGGGAAAAAATCATTGACATTTCCCCACTGGAAATTGGGGAATCTAGCTTACTGACCTCTGCTATGATTTCAAAATCAATGGATAGCTATAGATGACGTTGGCATGAGATGAGTTTAACAAGCAGCTGTGGAGTTTAGAGACAAAAGGGGATATCCCTAGGTGAACATGGATTGGTGCACTGTAAGGCACAACATGTAAAAGAAGATTTTATTCACTGTAAAAATATTCTTTCATATACTAGCCAAAAAGCGTTATGAGGCAAATGAGTTGCAGCCTCAGAGAATAAGCCTGAGCAAGACTGCATTAGACAAATCTGAAAACATTCCTAGGGATGCAAGGGCACCTGTATGACTTTTGCTGATGTCTCAGACTAGACATGTTTCAGGGAAAAAAAGCTGTTAAAGATGTTGAACCACTTTGGAATGTCTCTGCCCCCTGATTATATACCAATATGAAGACTACTGCCTCTGAGAGACACTATTTTCCAAATACTTTCCTAAATGCTTCTTTCACATCCTTGTTCCTCAGGCTATAAATGAAAGGGTTAATCACTGGTGTTATGACTGAGTAGAACACTGAGACCACTTTATCCCCTTTATTCATTTGCTTCAAATTAGGCTGCATGTAGGTAAATATTGTTGACCCGTAGAATAAGAAAACAACAATGAAATGGGATCCACAGGTAGAGAACAACTTTAGCCTCCCCTCCTCTGACTGTATTTGAATTACAGTGGAGATAATATTCCAGTAGGAGAAAAGGATGAGAGAGGCAGGACCTAGCAGAATTACAACACCTATTGCAAAGATGGTCATTTCTGTGCTGTAGGTATCTGCTGAAGCCAGTTTCAGGAGGGCAGGAGGCTCACAAAAATAATGATTAATTATATTCTGTCCCTGATATGGGAGACATAAAGTGAATGTGGTATCTACTAAAGACACAAATGCTCCACTGGCCCAGCACCCCGTGACCAGCTGAACGCAAATTCTCTGGGTCATGAGAGTGGAATAGCGCAGGGGCTTGCAGACAGCCACATAGCAGTCATAGGACATCACTGCTAGAAGTGAACTCTCTGTACACCCTGCTGTTAGGAAGAAAAGCATTTGAATTGAGCACCTAGTAAAAGAGATGGTCTTTCTCATGACCAGCAAATGGGATAGCATCTGGGGAACAATAGCTGTAGAGAAACAGAGATCAGTAAATGAGATTTTTAAGGAAGAAGTACATTGGTGTGTGAAGTCGAGAGTCAACCTGAATTAGGAGTATGATGAGCAGATTCCCAAACATAGTCAACAGGTAGATGATAAAAAATATCACAAACAGCAGAATCTGGGTTTGATGATCAGAAGAAAAGCCCAGCAAGATGAATTCAGTCAGATAGGTTTGGTTTTCTTTGTTCATTGACATTTATTTCTGTCTATAAATTAGCATAATTAGTACAATCAAACATTGACTATGATGGCGTGCCAAAAACCGAAAGTGAAGGTCTCGTTGGAGGAACAAGTGTTCTGATGTAGAAAAATTTTGTAAACATTGAGCACACTTGATTTTATAATTTTTCTATCTCTATATTTCTACTAAAGCCATGTGGTTGGTAGATACAGAGAATTCAGGAATATGCCTTCTTGTTGCTCCTTGTTGGTAGAACGTTATCATTCATAGAACCATTGTTCAACAATTGTGTGGCTAAGGTCAAAAAATGTCTTTATGGAAAATTACATGTTATTTGTCTGAACTAAAGAAAAAGGATGCAAATATATGAATTTGAAAATAAAAAAGATTTCTTTCTCTTGCCTGATTGCCCTAGCCAGAACTTCCAACACTATGTTGAATAGGAGTGGTGAGAGAGGGCATCCCTGTCTTGTGCCAGTTTTCAAAGGGAATTTTTCCAGTTTTTGCCCATTCAGTATGATATTGGCTGTGGGTTTGTCATAAACAGCTCTTATTATTTTGAGGTACATTCCATCAATACCGAATTTATTGAGCGTTTTTAGCATGAAGGGCTGTTGAATTTTGTGAAAAGCCTTTTCTGCATCTATTGAGATAATCATGTGGTTCTTGTCTTCGGTTCTGTTTATATGCTGGATTATGTTTATTGATTTGCGAATGTTGAACCAGCCTTGCATCCCAGGGATGAAGCCCACTTGATCATGTTGGATAAGCTTTTTGATGTGCTGCTGAATCCGGTTTGCCAGTATTTTACTGAGGATTTTTGCATCGATGTTCATCAGAGATATTGGTCTAAAATTCTCTTTTTTTGTTGTGTCTCTGCCAGGCTTTGATATCAGGATGATGTTGGCCTCATAAAATGAGTTAGGGAGGATTCCCTCTTTTTCTATTGATTGGAATAGTTTCAGAAGGAATGGTACCAGCTCCTCCTTGTACCTCTGGTAGAATTCGGCTGTGAATCCATCTGGTCCTGGACTTTGTTTGGTTGGTAGGCTATTAATTATTGCCTCAATTTCAGAGCCTGCTATTGGTCTATTCAGGGATTCAACTTCTTCCTGGTTTAGTCTTGGTAGAGTGTAAGTGTCCAGGAAATTATCCATTTCTTCTAGATTTTCTAGTTTATTTGCGTAGAGGTGTTTATAGTATTCTTTGATGGTAGTTTGTATTTCTGTGGGGTTGGTGGTGATATCCCCTTTATCATTTTTAATTGCGTCTATTTGATTCTTCTCTCTTTTCTTCTTTATTAGTCTTGCTAGCGGTCTGTCAATTTTGTTGATCTTTTCAAAAAACCAACTCCTGGATTCATTGATTTTTTGGAGGATTTTTTGTGTCTCTATCTCCTTCAGTTCTGCTCTGATCTTAGTTATTTCTTGCCTTCTGCTAGCTTTTGAATGTGTTTGCTCTTGCTTCTCTAGTTCTTTTAATTGTGATGTAGGGTGTCAATTTTAGATCTTTCCTGCTTTCTCTTGTGGGCATTTAGTGCTATAAATTTCCCTCTACACTGCTTTAAATGTGTCCCAGAGATTCTGGTATGTTGTATCTTTGTTCTCATTGGTTTCAAAGAACATCTTTATTTCTGCCTTCATTTCGTTTTGTACCCAGTACTCATTCAGGAGCAGGTTGTTCAGTTTCCATGTAGTTGAGCGGTTTTGATTGAGTTTCTTAGTCCTGAGTTCTAGTTTGATTGCACTGTGGTCTGAGAGACAGTTTGTTATAATTTCTGTTCTTGTACATTTGCTGAGGAGTGCTTTACTTCCAATTATGTGGTCGATTTTGGAATAAGTGCGATGTGGTGCTGAGAAGAATGTATATTCTGTTGATTTGGGGTGGAGAGTTCTATAGATGTCTGTTAGGTCTGCTTGCTGCAGAGATGAGTTCAATTGCTGGATATCCTTGTGAACTTTCCGTCTCGTTGATCTGTCTAATGTTGAGAGTGGAGTGTTGAAGTCTCCAGGAAAAGAAGAAGTCAAATTGTCCCTCTTTGCAGATGACATGATTGTATATTTAGAAACCCCATTGTCTCAGCCCCAAATCTCCTTAAGCTGATAAGCAACTTCAGCAAAGTCTCAGGATACAAAATTAATGTGCAAAAATCACAAGCATTCTTATACACCAGTAACAGACAAACAGAGAGCCAAATCAGGAATGAACTTCCATTCACAATTGCTTCAAAGAGAATCAAATACCTAGGAATCCAACTTACAAGGGATGTAAAGGACCTCTTCAAGGAGAACTACAAACCACTGCTCAGTGAAATAAAAGAGGACACAAACAAATGGAAGAACATACCATGCTCATGGCTAGGAAGAATCAATATCGTGAAAATGGCCATACTGCCCAAGGTAATTTATAGATTCAATGCCATCCCCATCAAGCTACCAATGAGTTTCTTCACAGAATTGGAAGAAACTGCTTTAAAGTTCATATGGAACCAAAAAAGAGCCCGCATCTCCAAGACAATCCTAAGTCAAAAGAACAAAGCTGGAGGCATCACGCTACCTGACTTCAAACTATACTACAAGGCTACAGTAACCAAAACAGCATGGCACTGGTACCAAAACAGAGATATAGACCAATGGAACAGAACCGAGTCCTCAGAAATAATACCACACATCTACAGCCATCTGATCTTTGACAAACCTGACAAAAACAAGAAATGGGGAAAGGATTCCCTATTTAATAAATGGTGCTGGGAAAATTGGCTAGCCATAAGTAGAAAGCTGAAAATGGATCCTTTCCTTACTCCTTATATGAAAATTAATTCAAGATGGATTAGAGACTTAAATGTTAGACCTAATACCATAAAAACCCTAGAGGAAAACCTAGGTAGTACCATTCAGGACATAGGCATAGGCAAAGACTTCATGTCTAAAACACCAAAAGCAATGGCAACAAAAGCCAAAATTGACAAATGGGATCTAATTAAACTAAAGAGCTTCTGCACAGCAAAAGAAACTCCCATCAGAATGAACAGGCAACCTACAGAATGGGAGAAAATTTTTGCAATCTACTCATCTGACAAAGGGCTAATATCCAGAACCTACAAAGAACTCAAACAAATTTACAAGAAAAAAACAAACAACCCCATCAAAAAGTGGGCAAAGGATATGAACAGACATTTCTCAAAAGAAGACATTCATACAGCCAACAGACACATGAAAAAATGCTCATCATCACTGGCCATCAGAGAAATGCAAATCAAAACCACAATGAGATACCATCTCACACCAGTTAGAATGGCGATCATTAAAAAGTCAGGAAACAACAGGTGCTGGAGAGGATGTGGAGAAATAGGAACACTTTTACACTGTTTGTGGGATTGTAAAGTAGTTCAACTATTATGGAAAACAGTATGGCAATTCCTCAAGGATCTAGAACTAGATGTACCATATGACCCAGCCATCCCATTACTGGGTATATACCCAAAGGATTATAAATCATGCTGCTATAAAGACACATGCACACTTATGTTTATTGCAGCACTATTCACAATAGCAAAGACTTGGAATCAACTCAAATGTCCATCAGTGACAGACTGGATGAAGAAAATGTGGCACATATACACCATGGAATACTATGCAGCCATCAAAAAGGATGAGTTTGTGTCCTTTGTAGGGACATGGATGCAGCTGGAAACCATCATTCTTAGCAAACTATCACAAGAACAGAAAACCAAACACCGCATGTTGTCACTCATAGGTGGGAACTGAACAATGAGATCACTTGGACTCGAGAAGGGGAACATCACACACCGGGGCCTATCATGGGGAGGGGGGAGGGAGGAGGGATTGCATTGGGAGTTATACCTGATGTAAATGACGAGTTGATGGGTGCTGATGAGTTGATGTGTGCAGCACAGCAACATAGCACAAGTATACATATGTAACAAACCTGCACATTATGCACATGTACCCTAGAACTTAAAGTATAAAAAAAAATCTTTTTGTAAATGTCAAACACACTTGATTTTATAATTTTTCCATCCCTATGTTGGATGGAAATATTGAATCTAAGGTAATGAAGGGTGAATCTAAGATAATGAGTAAATAGATCAGAAAGAGTTAGGAAAGGTAATAGAGTCATGGGAAAATGGCTGGGACTCAGAGCTGGAATCTGATATCCCTGGAAAATATTGAGCTCCCTGTTAGAAAGAACAAGGTATCAAAGCAGAAATTCAGCCCTCCTGGCAGAACTTTCTTGAGATAGGGAAAAATCAAAGATGACAAACATATAAGTGTTTTTTTTTCACACAGAAGTTTCTATGTCTAGCTGGCAATATAGGAGAAATGTGAACAGAACTATTGTGGCTGTAGCACTAGCTCATGAGCTGTCGAGTATGACTTAACTTCAAGACAACTGGGTCACAGTGAAGTTTCTAATCCTGCATTTCCAGGAAGACTGGATCTGAATTTGATCCATCCTGAATCTATAGGAAGGTCCAACCTGCAGGAGGGTCTATTGGCTTTGAGGGACCAGAAAGGCAGAGGCAGGGAACACTTTGAGGAATTGGTAAAATCAAATGAGAAAGATTTTCCCTTTAGCTTCACTCTAAGGAGATGACACAGAGAATCAATGATAAACTCTGACATCAAAAGCCAATATAACCTCTTGCTTAAGTCAGTGTTTTTGAAACTGATTTATAACACATTCATGGTTAATGAGATAGAATTACTAAGTTAACAACAGTATTTGTTAAAATTTGAAGAAGAAAAGAAAATACTATTTCTTACAATAATATGTGCATAGTTATGAGAAAATATTAATTTCAATTTGTGTGTGTGTATGCATGTGTGTGCACTGGGTTACAATGGAAACTGTGTTCCTGATTAAGGGTTTTTGTCAACAACTTTAAAACGAATACTGCTGTAAGTCAAATGTTCTTAAAGACATAAATAAAATAATTCATTACTGATCCAATTTCCAATAATTGTTGATAAGTACATATTTTTTAC